CAGCACACTTGGTCATCTCTTATATGAAAGGAGAAGAGGTCTAAGATAGACATTCAGAATCACACACATGAGCAAATGGATTGGCTGGCTGGTCAGGGTCCTGAAAGAAGCAAAATTAGAAGATTAGCGACAAGGAGGTCTGGGGAAGAGGCATGAAAAAGGCCATAGGGGAATAGGCACCAAGCCTAAGGATTTTTATATCACAAGACAGTGCCTACCAGAGCATTCATCAGAGGATACACTCAATCAAGTGGATAGGATGACTTGTCTAGAAGACAGCCAGCTTCAGCGCTAAGCCACCCAAGTGCTTACAGAAAGGGCCTACCACCTCCACGGGTCCAACACCATGAGCTGCTTCTCCTCAAGACTGATCTTGCTATCGCCTGTCTTTAAGGATGACCTGTCAGCAGCAGAAACAATGTTAAGCCCTCCATATGGCACATCCAGCCTCTTGTTAGCAAGGTGATTACATCAGACCTTGTTGCCCTGGAAAAGGAAAGCAGTATCCATCCTGTGATTGATAAATATTCTAGATATGGATTTACCTTCCATGCCCAGGCACAGTGCCTGTGCCAGCACCACTAAGGGCTTTCAGAATACCTAATATACTACCTAAATACATAAGTCATCTGGAACAAGTAACTAATTTTACAGCGAAAGAGGGTAAACAATGGGCACGTGATCACTTGGAATATTGATTTTATCATCCATTATCTAGAAGCTGTCAGCCTGACATGATATTGGAATGACCTCTTAAATGCTCAGCGAAGGCACCAGATTGAGGATAAACTACAGGCACAGGGTGCTCTGATAGGCACAGAAATACATCATCAAGATCCCCCTTCAAGGAAGGATATGCTGCTTGGTAGGGAGCACAGTCAGCAGAAAGCCTCCAGCTAGCTGTCAGTCCCTCCAGGGGCAGCTCACATCCGGGGACTCAACGAGCCAGGGGTAGGAATCCCAGCCATACCAGTCTGTTGTGGGATACCTCTAATGGACGATACCTGCTATGGAGTGCCCCACCTAGTTAAACCAAGGCTTGGCCAATCTTCCACCCCAGTCTGACTTCTGCCCAGTCCTCCTTCCTTACCCCCTCTGATAAACATTTTATACCCCAAACCCTCTTTTGCATTCCTAAGTCAGCACCTTAGAATATCCTTCCCAGGAAACTCAACCACACAACCACTATGAAGTGTCAGTAGCAGTAGACTCAACACAATCCAAGGGCTGAAAGGAATCATTTATGATGCCCTCTTTCATGGTCCACCTAAGTTCATCAGCAGTTTCAGGAAAGTTCAAAATAGGAACTGCAACTTGAATGTGTTTGTCACAGGTCAGTGTTCTTAGCAAACTAGCAGCTATTATATATGACGCTGTGTCCCCAGTAGCTAGCATAGAGATCTGGGAACCAAGGTGTGGAATTAAGTTTCTCCCTTATAACTCCCAGTGACCCAATTGGGGAAATGTGGGGATCGAAAGCACAAATTAAGTTCAGCAGGTCTAGAGGTTCCAGATCTACACGCTTCCACCAGGGGACTCAAATGGTGCTTCCAGGTCATTTTGGCCTCCTTTCCCCAGTAGACCAGCAAGATTTTTTCTGCTACATGAAAGAGGAAAGGGAAGAATATGGGACTCAGGTGATTCATTGGGGATCTTCTTGGTGCTTCCACACCCAATGTTAAGAGTGAGTAAGCAACTATAGCAAACACGGATGTTAAGAAGGTCACTAGGGGCTTAGACTTCTTAGGAATGAACGTCTTGGTCACCAACCAAAACAACTTAAACCAGTGAAAAGTGCTGGCCAAGGGAGAAGAACTCTAGGATTGAGGGTAGGAGAGGATAAAGAATATCGATTACGGGACCGGCCCGGTGGCGCAAGCGGTTAAGTGTGCGTGCTCCGCTGCGGCGGCCCGGGGTTTGCCGGTTCGGATTCCGGGCGGGCACCGACACACCGCTTGTCAAGTCATGCTGTGGTGGCATCCCATATAAAGTGGAGGAAGATGGGCACAGATGTTAGCCCAGGGCCAGTCTTCCTCAGCAAAAAAAGAGGAGGATTGGCAGATGTTAGCACAGGGCCGATCTTCCTCACAAAAAAAAATAAGAATATCGATTACGTCTCATGGTTATGTTCTTTATAGACCAGCTGCAGCAGTTGAAGATTTGGAGGATCATAGCTGCCCATCACCGGTAGACATGGAGAGGTGCCACACAGCTCCCCCTTCACAAAAGAACTTGCTGTTCAGCTGTGAGGAGCATGGTTACCCAACAGCCTCCAGCTGTCAGCTCATGCTCTTCTTGGGGTGGCTCTAAGCCAAAGACTGAGCAAGCTTAGCCATTTCCATCCAGGGACTCCTCAAACTGGTTTCTGCCCCAGAGCTCCCTGTTGGAAGGGAGACGCCAAGGAGTGCAGTAACTATAGGACCGTTGCTCTAATTTCCCACTCAAGTAAAGTGATGCTCAAGGTGCTGCAACAAAGGCTTTTACCTCACATGGAGCAAAAAATGCCTGTGTCCAAGCTGGATTTCAAAAAAGGAAAGGCACGTGAGATCCAGTTGTGGTTATTCATTGGCTACTGGAGTGCTCCAAAGAATTTCAGAGGAAGGTTAGTCTAGGTTTTATAGACTACAGTAAGCCTTTGACTGCATGGATCATAAAAAGCTACAGGCTGCTCTGAAGGAAATGGGCGTGTCTCAGCACTTGACTGTCCTGATGCATAGACTGCACTGTGGACAAGAAGCCTCTGTCAGAACAGAAGATGGAGAGACGATGGTTTCCTATAGGCAAAAGTGTCAGAGGAGGGTGCATTTCATCTCCCTATCTGTACACAGATCATATGGAAAGCTGGGCTAGACTCCAAGGAAGGAGTGAAAATTGGAAGAAATATGAATAGTCTAAGATATGCAGATGACGCCAACTTACCGCCAAGAAAGCAGCAATGACTTGAAAAGACTTGACAAAAGTGAAAGAAGCGCCACAGCAGGACTGCATTTGAACACCAAGATGACAAAAATCGTGATAACGTAGACAATGAAGACTTCGAAATTGTTAAAGGTTTTGTTTACCTTGGTTCAGTCCATTTAAATGAAGACTGCAGGGGCCGGCCCCCTGGCTCAGCGGTTAAATGCACGAGCTCCGCTACTGGCAGCCTGGGGTTCGGATCCCGGGCGCGCACCGACGCACCGCTTGTCCAGCCATGCTGAGGCCGCATCCCACATACAGCAACTAGAAGGATGTGCAACTATGACATACAACTATCTACTGGGGCTTTGGGGAGAAAAAGGGAAAAAAAAGGAGGAGGATTGGCAGTAGATGTTAGCTCAGGGCTGATCTTCCTCACAAAAAAAAAAAAAAATGGAGACTGCAGCCAAGAAGTCAAGAAAAGGCTGAGACTGAGAAGGGCAGCAATGAAAGAATTAGGAAGGATCATCAAGTGTAAGGAACTGTCAGAGACCAAGGCCAAGATTATCCATACCCTCATATTCCCAATTACTATGTATAAGTGTGAAAGCTGGGCTGTGAAGAAGGCTGACAGGGAAAGAACTGGTTCATTTGAAATGTGGTGTTGGAGAACTCTACGGATACCTGGGACTACCAGAAAGACTAACAAGTGGGTCCCAGAGCAAATTAAGCCTGAACTATCGCTGAGGGCAAAAACGATAAAACTAAGGCTTTGAGCATATTGTGAGAAGGCAAGATTCTTTGGAAAAGAATTCTGGGAAAAGCAGAAGGCAGCAGGAAAAGACCAAATATGAGATAGATTGACTCCATAAAAGCCATAGGCATGAGTCTACAGGAACCAAGTAGGGCTGTTGAGAACAGAACTTTGTAGATGGTACTCATTCATAGGGTTGCCAGGAGTCAGAGCTGACCTGATGGCACATAGCACACACACAGATCTTTTACATTCCTAATTCCCTTGGCATATACTTCCCAGAGAGCTCAATGGCACAACCCCTGTGAAGCATCAGTGGCAGTAGACTCAACGTGGTCCAAGGGGTGGGAGGAATCAGATTTGTGATGATGCCTTCTTCCATACCGCACCTGAGTTCACCAGCAGTCTCAGGAGACATCTCCAGCACATCTACAGCTTCCCCACCTCAAGTGCCCATGTCTCTGTTCGCCTGAATACTTTCTTTGGTACCATGGGAGCTTGCTCAGTCACAAACACTTGCAAACTAGAAACTGCAGGGGAGTTAATGCCCCTGGAGGTACTTGCCCCCCAACCAATGAGGGAGGGATAGTCGTGGAATGACTGCGTCAGCCACCTCAAGTGGGACAGTACATATGTCAGAGGCTCCCAGCATGACCGAACCGCAGTTGCCCATGGTAGTAAACCCACTTGACATAACCTTTGACTTTCTCCTTTCCCAGGCCTGCTTTCCTTGCATTTCATTCGTGCTTCCTGGGATCATCTACCAAAGGAACTAACTACCTGCACCCCTATCCTTGTCTCAGGGTCTGCTCTCTGGGAAAGCCAAACTAAGAAGTCTCAAGGAAGTTTGTGAGATTACATAGAGTAGATTGAGTCCAAAACCCAGTGACCCTTTGTTATGGACCAAATGTGTGTCCCCCCCAAAGTTGAAGCCCTAACTCCCCCAACGTGACCGTATTTGGAAGTGGGGCCTTGGGAGGTAATTAGGTTTAGATGAGGTCATGGGTGGGGCCGCCATGACGGGATTAGCGTCCTTCTAAGAGGAAGGGAGACCAGAGCTTGCTTGCTCTCCACCATATGAGGATACAGCAAGATGACTGCTGTCTGCAAGCGAGGAGAGCTCTCACCGGGAACCAAATCTGCTGGCACCTTGATCTTGGACTTCCCAGCCTTTTCATCCCTTTGGACCCAGCAGGTCTCTAGATCTTCAGCCTTTCCTTCCTTCCACCCCATTCCAAAAGGCTGCAGTGTCTCAGCTTCTCTCTCACCAGTGGTGTTTCCAGACTCACATCTTCGCTGGAAGAAGTTTGGCCAGCTGTCCCGGTGGGAAGTGGCCATTGGAACAAGGATGGCGATCACGTGGATGGAGAATGCAGCCCTGTGCTTCCTGGTACTGAGCACAGGTATGTGTGTGCCTGTCCCCAAGCCCTTCCTGTTCCTCCCCAAATCTGACTAGGTAGGCTCCCCTCTCAAAGTTTGAATCCCAGAGACAGTGAATCCGAGGTCTCCCTAGGAGTACATGAAAGAACAAAAGAAACAACGTTCAAGAGAAAAACTATCTCCCAAGATCAGAGAAGCAGCTAAATAGTCTGAGAAGAGGACAAAGCTGACATTCTTAGAGCTACATAGAATGACATTAACCTCGGTGAACAGTTTTCAAACATTCTATAAAGATGCTATTTGATCCCTTTTTCTGCTTGTCCTCATATGTACTCTTAGTTGGTCAAGACAACTTCTGTCCTTACCTCGGCTAACAGATTTAGGGTACCCTCCAGCTGTTCATGAAACAGACATCAGCTTAAAGTTGTTTGCTAAGTTCTTAACGCTCTATGCCCCTCATATTTCTAGTGAGGCCTGGCCTATCAGATCTTAACCTGGATTTGTGGTGCTAGCCTCTGCTCCCGGTTCTCGTGTCAATAGAAATCCTCTTCCAAGCAAAAGCAGTTGACTGCAAGTTGGACCATATGATGCTTAAGTTTAGCTCAACAGTAGAGAAGCTCTGGATAGAAAGACAGATCCTCCTGTGAACCTAGCAATTGAAATGTAGTTGTGGGCCATTGGGTATGTTATCATCGTTTTATATATGTAAAGTATATTTCAATAAAAACTTTAGACTGTTAGGATCGCTATAGGTAATTCCTGGTTAATATTACAGTCAGAATTTCATAGTTTATCCCTATACCTTGAATACTAAAAAATTTAAGATTTAGAGTCAAATTAAAATGTGACTGCTACCTCATGGATTACTGTAATTTGTCATGTTAGGATTTTTGAATTTGTAAAGATGACTAATTGCTTGGCATCTTATCTTTTATTATTAACAATTTTGTCTTTGCCAAAGTAGACATTAAAATTGTGGTTCCTAAGTGAAGTGTCTGGTTTTATATTAATAGTTTAAATAAAAATTTCTCATGAGACAAAAAACTTGTACCTGAGGCCACATAAGTCACATCACGAAATGTTCATAGTCAACAGAGTTGTGTGCAGAAATGAGTTTACCTGCTAGGGGTGCACAACCTCCAGCTTGGGAGGCCTCAGGGAGGCACCCGACCCACTCAAGCAGATTCCAGGCTCTCCTGTTCATCACGAAGTTCCCCCTAGGCACGGAATCAACGTTTCAAGAGATAGGTGAGCTTGGTATGAGGAGATGGGGTGAGATGGTTCACACAGGATCAAGATTCCCCTGAAGGTCAAGCAGAGGATTCTCCACTGAGTCCTCAAAACCCATTCTTGAGTTCCCAGAAAGCCAACGACTTTCCTTGTTTCCATCCTGGCAGCTGGCTGAGGGGCATCTTTGGCACCACCTGGTGGCCTTGGCATGTCCCGACAGCAAACAGAGCTTAGAAGGCTGTGGAAGCTTAACAGTCTGGTCTCAACCCCACCTGGAAGATCCCATGCACCCTACAACCATCAGACCTTAATCTTTCCAAGTGAACTGATCTTCTAGAAGAAAGAGACATGACCCTATTAGAGGGAAAAAATGGAACTGAACTTGGGTTGAGAGAACAAGACAGTACAGCCACGAAGAAGTGGCATGAGGCAGGCTCTAGCCTGTGGTTTCTCATGATGTAAGGCGGGACAGCAGCCAGCCCCTCAGGCTCCAGGCAGATGGAAGTAGAGCCTCCAAGACACAGGACCCCTCAGTCTAGGAAGATCCTCACTTCATTGTCAAAGGGTCAGCTAGAGAAAGAGGTGGCATGTGTCCACCCCAAGCGGCTCTGGGTTCACTATGTAGATTCGTCTACTTTCTAATATAACATTTCTCTTACCAAATTATAACTTGAGAAAAATTTGTTATATTTGTGTCAGGGAAGATGAAGGAGAAGAGAGTCAGTTAAGAGAGAGAAGACAGGCATTGAATCGAGTATATCGAAGGATTTCTATCAGAAATCGTTTCCCAGGATGGCTCCCTCAATCCATCCAAGGTAACGTGTTCCCATCATGTCCCTTATCCTTCTATTGCATATCCCAGAGCCCACATCCAGGCACCAGGAAGCCAGGCTGGCTCACTTATCAAGCTCATTCTCCACCCGCTGAGAATGGACTGAGCCAGTCCTGGATGGCTCTGACGGCTCTACAGAGAAAGAGACAATATTGAGAGAAATGCACCGTTTCTTGAGTAATTCACCTCTATGCACAAGCTAGTCTTCTGTTCTCTTCAGGACCCCTTGAAGAATTCGCCTATTTACACCAGACTTCTGTAGAATTGCTTTGTTCAATGAGAAGACTCACATGGAAGCTTTGCTACTGCTCCTGGAGAGCAGGTCCTTCTGAAGCCCCAAGGGCCCTCCCCAGTGGAGATAATCATGGAGCAAACTCAGTCTCTGGACTCGTTCAGGTCAATGACCACAGCGTGCTGGGGACCTCCTGGGCTTCAGGGTAGAAGTCAGGGCAATTGCCGATTTTGAACAGGAGGATACGAAGTTGAATGTGGAATTTCACCTAAAATGGTATATTCCTGCTGTGAAGGAAATTGCTCCCTCTGTCCCCTAGAACATCCCTTGAGCCCTGGATCCTGCAACTGCAGTGTTCCTGTTGGACGCTCTAGTCCCATATGGGTCAATGTGCGCATCTCCCTTCCTTTGATCTGATGACCACTCTGAAAACTGAACCTCCCTGGAATCTCCCCTCCACATTAGATACTCCATAAGGTCAGGCTGGGCCTGGACTAGCAACCATTTCCTCCCCAAGCCCCATCTTAGAACACATGGGTATCATCTCAGAGGTATGCCTGGGCATGTCTTTCCTCCAGCTGCACCCTCTCTGCCAACCCTGCATTAGCCTCAGGTCTGGGCTGGCCTTGGTTGGCTGGCACAGACCAAGAGCCCACTTACCACATGATCTGGCCAGAGAACACCAGAACTCAGAGACCCCCAAGGACTCTGTGTTCTAGTGCTCCCAACCACAAGACTCCCAATTACATCCATCTCAGAACAGCTGGATGAGCTGGAGATGCTATTCACAGACAGCAAGACACATTGAAATGAGACACTCCCCAGATGTTTCCATCTCTGGACATTAGCATGGCTCTGTCTGGGGAGGTTGGAGATGCATTCTTTAACATGTAAGTACCCAGTCAGCAAGCTAAGCAGGACTCGAGAGAAGTCCTCTCCTGGATCCAACCTTTAGGTGGAGTAGTGCTGGTGACCCAAGCCTAACACAGATGTCCCTTAGATGATTTTATGCTCACTGGTTGCTGGACCAATAAGTGACATAAGCCATCTATCTGCTTAGCACAGGCAGCATCCCATGATCACCTCTAATATACCCAACTATCTCAATGGCCTCAGGTGAGACTTTGGAAAGCATTTGATAAAGAACAGATTGCCAAGTCAAGATCAGGCTGTGTACATCTTGTAACCACGGGCCCTCTAGGACCAGTTCAACTGACCCCATCTTATCAGACTAAGAGTGGTTGTTCAGGAACTGAGACCCCTTGTCCATTTCAGGCTATTTCAGACCACCAACCCATCAACCGGGCCTGCACAAATGCCCAATAAGTGACCTTTTTGATGACAAAGGGCTGAAAACTCGATCCTCAGATCACATTAACACCCTCTATGAAGAGGCAGGAAGCTTGACTATGCTTGTGCAGATCATTACCTACTTCTTATCTCCAATCACCTATCTCCACATTTCAGACTGCCTTGCCCTTCATCGCATAAATTTTGCCCCAAGCCGTGGACTGGGGAGACAAATCTGAGAGCTGATGCCTCCTATCTCCTTGCAGATAGAGCAAGATAAAGCTGATTTCTTTTCCCAAAAGCTGATGCTGTAATAATCAGCTTTTCTTATGCGCATCGGGTAGGAGAACCCCATTTTTGTGCAGTAACATTATGCTGCTATGCTCACTACATGTGTATGTCTAAAAATGTTCCTAATAAGAGAACTCACTTTGTCATGCACAGGATAAAAGTTTCTACAGTTCATTCCTTTCCTTAGCAGTAAGAGAGTAAGAATTAAAGGGGTCAGAAGTGTGGGGACACAAGCATTTATACTATTCCATTCCAAGTCATAGACAAGCAAAGGACAGGCTAGCTGAAAGCCCATAACCCTGCCACAGTTGACAGTTAATAGATGTTTTCCAAGAATTGCTTCAGCTTTTGTATTTTTAAACACACTACTAAGTATACCCACTGTAACAAGCACAACAAAACTGAATAGCCTAACAAGCCAGTTAAGGTGGTGATTTTGTTAAATCCACTGCCACCTGGCATAAGTGATAAATTTCAGTCTACGATAAATAGACAAGAGCCATGATGCTTAATATACAATCCTTATTATACAGTTAAGTCAAAGGATTTCATGTAAGTTTTTACTCTTAGATCACAATTCACACTATTGGGAAGTTCAGAAAAGCAGGCCTGATTTATCACCCATAACCCTGATGAAGAAAAACCTGTTTGACCTGCAGGTTGCTTTTATAGGCCTACCCACCCCGCCTCCACCCACCCCCTGCAAACAGAATCACAGCCCAGCCTCCAGCAGTGCCGGCACTTTACTGCAGAATGCAGACCAGCAGGGGGTGCTCGAGACAAGTTCCTGTCCTGCAGTCCTGACAGCCTCCTTCCCTCGGGAGCACAAGCAGCTCAGCTCTCTCTTCAGTCTCTAGCCAGCAACTCCATCTGACCAGAGCACCTACCTCAGGACAAGGAATGGCATTCCCTTCTGTGCAGTCCCCAAGACAACTCTTTAGAGGCAGGAGTTATTCCAGAAGAGTGAACTCAGATCCAAAAGGGATGGTAACTCCTAGGAGATTCACTGGGCTCTGTGAGGGGCATGTACTCAGGGGTGATAAGGATGTCCCATATTTATTTAGTCCTACAATAGAGGGGCAAGCCATCAGGCAGTGCAAACTTTCCCTATCCTGCACAGCCAGTCCACCTAGGCACACTATACCTTC